AGAAACAAAGTGGAAAAAAATGAAATACAGGAATAGCAAGAAGAAATCAGTCTTTGAAGAAGCAGGGAGACAACAGAAACAGGGAAGGCTGAGAAATGTTCTAAGAAAGAAGAAACAGGTGTGACAAGTGGTACACTACAGGGTTGAAACAAATCCTTTTATTTATCAAAAATATTGAAAACAAGACTATATGGGAAGCTTTTAAAATAATTCTTGCTTAGACAGAGGGCACTCCAGCAGTTTCTTCACTTTGATTAATGTAGTTATTATATTCAGTTCTGAACAACAACAAAAAAGTTTTTTTGTTTTTTTTTTTGGCGGGGGCATCCAAAGTACTTTTTACTCTTATGTAGCTGGCAGCTATCTATTTCTATATGCTCCAGCTCATCATTATCACCTTTCACCATAGAGGCAGAATTCATAGTTTTCAAGGCTTGATCCATATTTAGACTCTACATTATAAAAAGAACTTCGGGCTCGGGTTGTGGCTCAGAGGTAGAGTGCTCGCCTCGCACGTGCAAAACCCTGGGTTCTATCCTCAGCACCACATACAAAAAATAAACAAGTAAAATAAAGATGTTGTGTCCAACTAAAAAATAAATGTTTAAAAAGAACCTTGAGGGCTGGAGAGAGAGCTCAGTTGGTAGAGTGCATGCACAAGGCCCTGGGTTCAATCCCCAGCATCATAAATAAATAAATAAACAAACAAACAAACAAATAAATAAATTAAAAAGAACCTTGTTTATTTTTACCCATGCTTCAAGAATCACTGATTTACTCAAAATAATATACACAACCATATTCTCTGTCATTAAATGTTGGGGTTTTTGCCCCCTTCAAAGATCCTATACATGAAACATCTAGTTATTCTCTCATTAACTGGACTTTATGCTTAATGTTCAATGCCATACGTACATTTTTTTCTGTATAGGAAACTTTCATAGTTTCTGTTTCCCCTCCTCCCATCAATTAGCTAGCTATCATCATGCTCTAAAATTTCTACATAGAACTATCCCATTAACTTTTTAATGAGTTGGCCAATTTTCTGTCCTAGCAAATCTGAAGGGGCAACATAATTCTTAATATTCATGGCTCACTAATGTCAAACATAAAGATGGCATACTTAAAAAAACTCCAGAATAGCTTCTGGTACAAGCATGCTCCATCTGACTGACAATGGTCACTTCAAAAACCAATTTTCTAAAATAATTTATAAGTACTAAAGATAAAAAAACCAAAGCAGAAATAAGACAACACAGTATACTAACTTCAGTATGTATTTTTCCCCCAAGACAGACGTCTGAATATTCGTTATGAAAGAGGAAAAAAGGCAAGAACTGATAGCTAAAATTTCATATTCTAAGGATCTCTCAAAAGTCCCCTATCCAACCTAAAAAGCCTACAAAATCCATAACCTGGAGTTAATATTATTGAGTTTCATAGTGGAAGATTAGTAAGATTGTTTTTTTTTAAAAAGATTCTTTTAAGTTCTTTTTCTTTCTTATGGTACTGAGGATGAAACCTAGGGGCTCTTGCATATCAGGCAAGCAGTCTACCACTAAACCACATCCCTGGCCCTTTTTTTGGGGGGGGCGGGGGGCGTTCTTTGGATTAAACCCAGGGTCTTGCACATGCTAGGCAAGTGCTCTACCAGAAAGATACATCCCCAGCCCTTTTTATTATATTTTGAGACAAGGTCTCCCCTAAGTTGCTCAGGGTAGACTCAAACTCTTTGACTCTCCCCTACCTCAGCCTCTCAAGCAGCTGGGATTACAGGTGTGTGCCATTGCACCCAGACTAAATTATTTTCTTTAATTGTCCAAAACAATGAAATATTTGCTCTAACTCTGAAGTGCTCTATGCTACCAATAAGCTAGTAGTAGCCAGAGTCAGAGAGAGATATCTTTCAGAATGGTCACAATAGGCTGGGGATGCGGCTCAAGCGGTAGCGCGCTCACCTGGCGTGCAGCCCGGGTTCGATCCTCAACACCATATACAAACAGAATGGTCACAATATAGAGGTTCTATTCCTAAGGTAGGGCAGAGTAGAACTACAATAAAATGTAGGCCTAGAGGCAGAAGAGCTAAGAACCTTTCAGAGGCAAAGTCACTTACATTTATGTAGCCAGTCTGTTAGCCTTTTTCTACCTTTAAACACATTAACAACTGAGAAGTAATCTAGGGTGAAGACTTTCTGTCTTAGGTAGCTGGAAGCAACAGGGGAAACTCTAAACTTATTTTATTATTTTTAAAAATATTTTTTAGTTGTAGGTAGACACAATACCTGTTTTTATTTTTATGTGGTACTGAAGATCGAACCCAGTGCCTCACACATGCTAGGCCAGTGTTCTACCACTGAGCCACACTTGAATTGCCTCAGCAATAGAGAGGTGCTAAGCAACTCAGTGAGACCTTGTCTCTAAATAAAATACAAAAATAGGGCTGGGGATGTGGCTTAGTGGTTGAGTTTCGTAGTGGAAGATTAATAGGATTGTTTTTTTAAAAAAGATTATTTTAAATTCTTTTTCTTTCTTATGATGCTGAGCATGAAACCTAGGGGCTCAATCCCCAGTACAAAAAAAAAAAAAAAAGATACAGAGGCTGGGGGTGGTGACACACACCTATTATCCCAGCACCTCAGGAAGCTGAGGCAAGAGGATCAGGAGTTCAAAGCCAGCCTCGGGAATTTAATGAGGCCCTAATTTAGTGATACCCTGCTTCAAATAATAAAGTGCTGGGGATGTGGCTCAGTGGTTGAGTGCCCTTGAGTTCGATCCTGGTACCCACGCCCCCCCAAAAAAAGATAAAGGGAAAGCCAGGATTGGTGGCACATGCCTCTAGTCCCAGCTACTTGGAAGGCTGAAGCAGGAAGAATGATTGAGCCCAGTCTAAGGCTCTATCTGAAAACAAAGAGAAAAGGAATCCCAACAGTACTGCATACTTAGTTAGGACTCTGACCCAACCATAGGAATGTGGAGAATGAAAGAGTTCCAAGGATATTTCTACTGCTCATATTAAGGAACTGTAAAGACCACAAATTCAATACAGGGTATTCTAGACATAGCAAAGATTAAAAATTAATAGAATATAGAAGGAAAGAAGAGCCACAGCAATTAACTTCTGAACATGAAAATTAGAAGTAGTTGCAGGAGCAGTTGGAGAGAAAATTTCAAGATTTTCCTGTATTGATACAAATATAAACATGAATGCAAATTAAAAATCAATTTCCTATGTAAAAATATTTATTTTGAATAATAAAAATTTAATGACAAAAAAGATTTTCCTATATTATCTCTGTATTTTAAAAAAAGAAAACAGAAAGTCAAACAATAAAACAAATTACTTCATAGACCCTACTGCTGTTCTAATATGTTGGGTTATTTTATTAATTTGAAGGAATTACAGGTCCTCCACTGAAAATAAGCAAAAGAATAAACACTCCCTAATCCTTACTATAAAAAGTCATTTTAGCAAATTATTTAAGACTAAGAGAATATCACTATAGTCAACCAGAATGCAAATATTCCCAATCTACATATTCAGGGCACTGGTAAATACTGTTTATCTATTAATTGTATTTCATGATATTAAATAAACATTTTTACTGTTAAAAATATTCTCCTAGTCTAGCTGGGAGTGCTGGCACACACCTGCAATCCCAGGGACTCAGAAGGCTGGGGCAGGAAGATCACAAGTTTCAGGCCAGCCTCAACAACTTAGCAAGGCCTTGTCTCAAAAAATAAAAAGGGGATTGGGGCTGTAGCTCAGTGGCAGAGCGTTTGCCTAGGATGCGTGAGGCACTGGGTTTGATCCTTACCACCACTACAAAAAAAAAAAAAGGCACGCTGTCCACTTACAACTATAACTAACTAACTAACCAAATAAATAAACAAACAAACAAATAAATAAATAAAAAGGGCTGGGGATGTTGCTCAGTGATTGAATGCCCCTGGGTTCCAATTCCAATACCAAAAATATATTCATTATCCTAGCCTACCTTGGTGGCTCACACCTGTAATCCCAGCTACTCAGGAGGCTCACAAGTTTGAGGCCAGCCTGAGCAATTTACTGAGACCCTATCTCAAAATAAAATTTTAAGAAGTGGAGATATACCTAAGAAATAGAGCACCTGCTTAGCAGGTGTGAGGCTCTGGGTTCAATCTGCAGTACCAAATAAATATATATTTATTTACAGTAAAAGACAAAAAGACTGCCTGGTAAAAGATAAATAGAAATGGTATAAATCTCTCTCTAGGAAATTACTAAGAGGGAAAAAAGTACTTTAAATCAAACTAGGAACATGTTTGGAGTGTTTCAACACGTTTCTCCTCACAGTGCCTTCCATTTGGATTCTGGATCTTTGAGGGTCTTGTTTTATTGGAGGGCAATTTGAGAAAGTCACATTGATTTAGACAAGGAATCATTAGATTTTCCTTTTTTAAAAGTTAACATCATCATTCTGAGGGATATCAAATCAATCTTCACAAAGAAATCTTTACATCTCACTACAGTATTTCTCATTAAAATATGGCATTCTTGATAGAATTTCTTTTCTCGAATGAAAGTAAGATTTAAAAGATAATCCCCCAACCCCACAAAAAAAGAAAGAAAAAGAAATAAATAAGGAGAAAAGAAAAGATGACAACTAGTTTTGGTCCTTATTTTGCAATAAAGCTAGAAAGAGATGAAACAATAGCAAGGAATGTCTTACAGAGGTACCTGCTTGGCAACTAGAAATATGATGAATATATGACAATTCAGAGCTTTCCTTACACAATTTTCTTTCCCTAACAAGTTTTTGAGGATCTTAGGCTATTAGGTCTTCTTTCTTTCTTTCTTTTTCAGGTAAATGTTTACATTGTGGCTTGGTTAAATCAAGCTAATTAACATAGTCATGAGGCTCTTAGGTCTTAATTTAAGGAAACAAGGCCACGGGATTCACCAACTCAGAGACCCTCAAATATCCACCAGTCCCACAGGCCTAAGTCCTCAACACCCACCTCGTCATCACTGTCGGATGTCTCTGAGTCTGAAGATGCTGCAGGTTGACTCACAGGCGGCTCCTTCTCCTCAGAGTCACTGCGCTTCCGTTTTGCCAGGGACAAAAGCTCCTAATAAGGCAGAAATAGTCACATCAGTTTTGTTCAACAGAGAGAGAATAATAAAATGGCCGGGCATGACGGCATTTGCCTGTAATCCCAATGACTCTGGAGGCTGAGGCAAGAGGATCGAAGTTCAAAGCCAGCTTCAGCAACTTAGTGAGGCCCTAAGCAACTTAGAGAAACCCTGTCTCAAAATAAAAAATTTGAAAAAGGCTGTGGATGTGGCTCAGTGGTTGAGTGCTCTCTGGGTTCAATTTCCAGTACCAAATAAATAAATAGCCCACATTCCCTGAATCTCTTCTACATCTTTGTGCTTTCCACTGAAGGACATCATCATAAGGACTTTTAACATACAAATGGACTGAATGCCAGTATTCCTAGGTGCTGAAGAAATATTTTCAAAATCTGCCCACTCCTTCTTCATGGGAAAAGTATATCTGAAATAGAAAACTGAATTAGAAGCTACTCCAAACTGTCACTGATTTCCTCTCTAAACTACAGAAGTATTGATTCTCAGGGACTGATAAGAACTGTTTACAAAGGTAGTTTGCTTGCTGTTTACCTGGAATACAGCTAATACTCCAAAGATCCTTTGTATTATATTTCATGTATAATTGGTGTTTGTGAAGCTGTTGTGAAAAAGCTTAACGTTAGATGCAATGGCATATGTCTGTTATCACAGCCATTCAAGAGGTTGACAAATTCATAGCCAGCCTCAGAAACTTAGCAAGACCCTGTCTCAAGATAAAAAATAAAGGGACTAGGGGCTGGGGTTGTGGCTCAGCGGTATAGTGCTCGCCTAGCATGTGCGAGGCCCTGGGTTCGGTCCTCAGCACCACACATAAATAAAGGTATTGTGTGCAACTACAACTAAAAAATAAATAAATCAATTCTCAAAACTGTACATAAATAAAAGTAAAGGCCCACTGACAACTAAAAAATATTTAAAAAATAAAAATAAAAAAGGGCTAGTAATGTAGCTCTATGGTAAAATATGTCAGGATTCAATTGAGAGAGAGAGAGAGAGAGAGAGAGAAAGAAAGGAATGAAGGAAAAGAGAAGAAAATAAAGGAGGGAGGGAGGGAGGGAGGGAAGAAAGAAAGAAAGAGCCCACAAACTGTACATTTATGAGGTCCTTTTATATTCTGAATGCTTAAACCATAAAAAAAGAGTATATACTTCTGTCCAGTCATGGTGGAACTATAATTCCAGTGACTCTGAAGGCTAAGGCAGGAGGATCTCAAATTCAAGGATAGCCTCAACAACTTAGTTAAATCCTTTTTCAAAATTGAAAACAACAACAACAACAAAATTAAAAAGGTTAAGGATGAAGATGTAGCTTTGTGGCAGAGCACCCCTGGGTTCAATCCATAGTACAAAAAATACACATACACACATTCTCTCTCC